TTTAGAAATTGAAATGCACTTACATTATTACTATAAATATGATAATCATGTTTTAATAGAGAGGAAGAGTTACTGGTGATATTTGCTGAATTGATATAGACCTTGGTGTATTTGAATTACTTAAATGTATAAATTTTTTTATTAATGTGGAGGAGATGGATTGTTTATAAATAGAGTTTGTGGAGTTAGAGATATTAATTTTTGTTTACCTATATTTGAATATTAGCCTGGGATTTGGTTTGGGAAGTCCGGGGGGGTGGGGGGGGTAGGGTTTTTACATTGTGATGTATTTGTGATGTGCTTTTTTTTATGATGAAAATAATAAAAATTTATATTTGAAAAAAAAAAAGAGTCTGGATGAAGAAGATCACTACAACTTCCTGGGTATCCTTCAAGCTGACATCAAGCACACTGAAGTCAAGAAGAAGATTAGTAGTGAATACATCAGAAGAATGAAGATGACCTTAAACTCAGTGATGGAAATATCATCAAGGCGATTAATTCCTGAATAATTTGTCACTAGATACACAACAGGAATAGTGGACTGAACACAAGCAGAACTAAAAGCCCAGGATAGAAAGACCAGAAAAATAATGATACTAAATCATGCCCTTCATTTGTGCAGCAACTTTGACAGACTTTATTTACCAAGGATCATAAGTGGGTATGGAATGTTGCAAGTATATCAGATAGATAAAGAAGAAAAAAGGGCATTGGAAGAATATTTGAAGGGCAGTGAAGAAGATGCACTGAAGCCAGTGCATACCATGAGACCAAATTGGCCTTTAAGAAAGACCAAATGAAAAATAAAAAAGAGACCTAGTCAGTAAAACAAACAAACAAACAAATAATAAAACTAGCAGGCAAAGCAGATAACAAGATCTGGCAATGACTAAGAGCAAGAAAATTGTTGAAAGAGATAGAGGGGCTGATTCTGGCTACACAAGACCTTAAAGCCTTAAAGACAAATGAATATGAAACCAAAATTGAGAAGACCGCAACAGACAGCAAATGCTGTCTCTGCAAAGAGGCTGAAGATATAGTGGACACCTATTCAGCTGCTGCAAGAAGATTGCAGACTTATTTCAAATAATGGTATGACAAAGTAGCAACAATGATGCATTGAATATCTACAAGAAATATCTCTACAAGCAAGAACTGATGGGACCACCAAATAGAGTAATAGAAAAGGAAGCTAAAGTGCTTTGAAATATTAGAATTCAAAAAGCCAAGCATCTGTTACATCCCAGACTTAACAACTGTTAATAAGAAATACCTAGAAAAATTGATAGTAAAAACTGCAATACCTGGAAATAGCAGAATAAAAGAGAAAACACTGGAGAAAAATCACAAAATATAAAGACTGGAAAATAGAACTCAAAGACTGTGGCAAAAGAAAGCAAAGATAGTACCAGCAATAATAGGCACTGTGGGGGCAGTTCCATAACACTGTAGCATCATTTGAACACTAGCATTGATTAAATCACCATCAGTTGCAAAAGGTGTCTTTATTTGGAATGGCTTAAGTCTGTGATGATACCTTTAACTCTATCAAACAGCAATATCAGCCTATCCAAGGTCTTTGGGAAGGACTCAACAGGTGAATAAAAATGCCAAATCCAGTCTAAACATCTGGCTGTGTGGCCAACAATAATAATTAAAAAGTTATAAATTTATAATGCTACCCACTCCCAGGTACCCTGGGTGGTTAATCTGTCTGGACCAAGCATCCCAGGAGAAATTGTTGGTGTTCTGCAATGTACATAGTTCTGAGACTCATAGGCACTGAGGCTCAGTGACAGAATAGTCTGACAGAATAGGCCCTTGCTTGGAAATCATGCTCATTTCTAGCTTTTGGGATATTATTGAAAACCAAATTGTTTTGGAAATATACTGAAATATAATAAAACACCTAAGAGGAACCAAAGTGTGCTTATTTTTTGTGATAGCAGCTCTAATTTTAAAAATCATTTTAATTTTGCCATGTCCACAGATGCATGTCTGCCATATTTGCAGATTTTTTTTTGAGAAGCCTCTTTCGATATGTATAATTACCTATGAGATTCTTTGCCTTAGGCCTATCTGTAAAATTCCACATTTCACATTGTTTTTCTTCATATCAGTTACTTATATAAACTATATGTAATATTACAAACCAGGAAACCATGTAGCAGCCTAATCTCTTTTCTCTTATTACTTATTATCTGGAAGCTGAGTATATCATAATAATATTTAGTTTTATAAAT